TGTGATCTTAAGGGTTTTTGAAACTTCCATAAGTTATGGATATGAAAGTTTTTTTTTTAAAAAAAATTTGATTCAAAGTTTTATGGAGTTACAAAATTTGGTGTTAATGTTTTAAAGAATTCCATAACTTGTTCTTAAGTTATGGAACATGAAAAGTTTCATCATAAAACACAATTAATTCCATAAGTTATGGAATCCAAAGGTTTTCAAGAATTACAAAACTTGCCCTCAAGTTTTGGAATTTGAGAAAAGTTTTTTATGAAAAAAAAATTGAATTCTAAAACTCTTGGGTTCATAACTTAAACAATTAATTAAATGGTTTTAATTTTGAGTTTAATAATTGGAATTATGATGTTTTGTTGAATAGTTCAAATTAACTCTTATGGACTTTATTAATAGTTAATTAAAGCGTTTAATTAAAAGAGTATTATTAATCCATAAATATATGGTTTGAGTTTAATTAAATTAAAAGTCTAGTTTAATTAATAGATTAAACCACCAAGTATTTTAAATGTCTAAAATACACCCTTATACTATTATAATATTAAAAGTTTAATATATTATATGTATAAGAGCAAGTCGTCTTACCATTAGTAGGCCTCATTCACAAAGCCGGTCTATAAGGGGGGTATAAGGTTACTGCCTATAAAATGGCAGTTTAATGGGTGTCCACTCTCACTCACCGCTTCCTTGACCGGTGGAGGGTCGTTAGCCGAACAAGTAGGACAAGGACTATAATTCTCCCTTCATTATAAGTATAATGATAAATACTAAGTAACTAAACACTTATAAATTCTCAATCTTAGTTACTTAGGAAAATGTGAATAAGGTGCTAATCCATGAAATTACACTTTGCACTTTGTTTAAGCTGTTAGTGGAGCGTGTGTGGTTAACCGACACACTAACCTGGACTTAACAAGGTAGGCAAAGGGTAACTTAATGTTTATCATAGTATCGTTGGAGCGTGTGTGGTTAACCGACACATCGATTGAGGGGTAAATATTAAGGGTACCAAGTATATTTGCATGGTTACTTCACAGGTTCTTCCCAGCCGCAGACCCCGACTCAAACCTCGCACCTACGTTGCGCGTTCTTCCCAGCTACGCCTTGCGTAGACCTTTTCTCCTCGGTACGCCCTGCGTACTAGGGTTTTTCCTAAACCCTAACTCTTCCGAATGCCATAACTCACTCGATACAACCCCGATCTCGACCATCCATATATCCATAGAAAGGCATCGAGACGCTCAACACTATTATCAATTCATACTTGCCATCAGATATCCCGAATCTAAAATCCATTTCCCATAAATCCCAATAGAAAAATTATCGAAATACTCTTTTTGCTCCAAGTCACAACCGAATACCCAAAACATCCAATATAGCATCCACCTCCAAATGAGCCCAATAACAGACTTCTTTAGGGATTCTAACCCTGCTAATACCCAAAATCACTTCGAAATGAAAACATACTAAAACAGGATGTTACAACTCTCCCCCACTTAAATTAGATTTCACCCTCGAAATCACTCCTTGCTAACACTCAAATCATCCCAACAACCCGAGAAGCGCAACAGAAAAATCAGAACGTAACATGACCTCCCCAAGACAACCGAATCCAACAGAAACCACTAACCCAAAGAAGAATGAACCTCAATACTCTGCCCTCAGGCACTAAAATAATGACAATGCCCGGTCGGGAACATCCTATGATATCCCAAACTACAAGCCTCAGCTTCCCTTCAAATGTTCCTTCCTTCTCTGAGTACCAGGTCAGCTCCCGACCTAAAAGTTGAACCTTAAAGGCTACTCTAGCACATCCGGCCATACGACTTCACAGTCGTTCTATCAAACCGCACTGTCTTAATCAATCTCACTAGACCCACAATCACCAAGTTCGCTTTACCCCAAGCGGTTACTACCAACGATTTGAAGTCGCACCTCACCTCTGACCCATGTCGTCTACTACTTGCTAGGTCATGCGTGTCGTGGTTCTCCTCAAACCAACAAACCGATCTGGCCGGTCTAAAACATCAGATGGGAAACATCCCCACTCACAATGAAATCCATCTGAAAACTCCGGAATCCCAACCTGTACATCCTCCACACAGATAGAGCCTAAACTCACAAAGGAGTCTGTCCCGACACAGAACTGGAACCACTCGTATCCAATCTGTTACTCAACTCATGACCCGCGATCCACGAATCCCCGCGTATCTTCTTGTACGCCCCGCGTACGAGGCCGCGCACCCCGGCTCAAACCTCGCACCTACGCTGCGTGTTCTTCCCAGCTACGCCTCACGTAAACCTTTTCTCCTCGATACACCTTGTGTATCACTCGGTACGCCCCGCGTACTAGGGTTTTCCCCCAAACCCTAACTCTTCCGAATGTCATAACTCACTCGATACAACCCCGATCTCGACCATCCATATATCCATAGAAAGGCATCGAGACGCTCAACACTATTATCAATTCATACTTGCCAACAAATATCCCGAATCTAAAATCCATTTCCCATAAAGCCCGATTGACAAATTATCGAAATACTCTTTTTGCTCCAAGTCACAACCGAATACCCAAAACATCCAATATAGCATCCACCTCAAAATGAACCCAATAACTGACTTATTCAAGGATTCTAACCCTGCTAATACTCAAACCTTGTTCATCACTTCGAAATGAAAACATGCTGAAAAAGGATGTTACAGAATCCCTCAAACAAAGGCTCTGATATCAACTTGTAACATTCCAAAATTTCAAGAAAAAGTTTTAAATTTTAAAATCCAAATAAGACATTCCATATAACCATAAAGAGTAATCATCCAAGGATTTAAAAATAAAATCAGAGTAATAAAGTCATAATGCAGAACATCCTAAATTTAATAAGCAGATGCGGTGCAATCACGCCGGGTCCGTCCCCTTGCTATTAGAAGTACTTGAAACATTTAAATTTAAACCATAAGCATAAAGTTTCGTGAGTTCCCCAAAATAACACATACAACACATAAAAGTGGGCCCCACCCTATGGATTTATTTCAACCTATGTGAATGCTATGGTCTACCTATAGTCTTAAAATCACTTATATTGCTATCGTCGCCCTGTAGTCTTTCATGCTATGGTCCACCCATAGTTTTTAATGCAATTACTATGGCCCACCCATAGTCTTTCATACAAGTCACAAAGACAAGAAAACATACATTGACACTTAGTGTCCTACACAACATAATGAGATGACTCACCTGAATCAAAAGTTGAAGCAACAATACTATAAGTCACACATAGTCAGCTACACGAGTCACCTATAAGAAATAAAGGCCACATCTCAGTCTACAACCTAAGCCTCCAAGTTGACCAAAAGTCAAACTGGTCAAAATGTCAACTGTCAACGGTCTACTCTCACTGACCACCGCGCCACGACCAGACCCTAGCTGTGCCGTGGTTTTCAAGTGACAAAACAGTCGCCGACTTCCCAGCCCACCACGTCATGGCAAGGCCTTAGTCGTGACACAGTTACGTCCATTAACAACTTAACTTATTAAACTCTTAACCCTTATGTCCAGAGTCCTAAAGCTCATATCTGGATCAGCTTAAGCTATGCATGGATAAAATTTTCAACTTTATCCATTCTTTGACCTCTAGAGACCTAGATCTCAAACCCTAACACTAAAAGGGGCCAAAATAACCTAAAAGGTACTTGCATGGCTGATTTAAGTGAAAGAACTCGACTTTATAGGACCATAAGGTCCAAAAACTAACATACCAAGACCGTGGAGTTGCTCGAAACTCCAAGTATCCTCTTCTAAAGACCATAAATGAACATCTAAGCATGCATAATGACCCAATAAGAAGAAAGGTATGAACTTTATACCTTCAGAAGCATGGAAATGCTTAGAAGATCCACTCTTTACCAACAACAACTATATCTACAAGGAATGATCACCTTCTTATTCTCCCAAAAGATATCAAGGGCTCGAAACACAAAGATACACACATTAAATCACCAAGAACACACACATACACACTCAACTTAGGGTTTTCTCTCCAAAGGGTAGAGGCTGAGGATGAACCAAAACCCTAATCATTAGGTGCTTAATTAGGGCTCAAGGCCGAGGCTTAGGGTTTTGAGCCCAACCACCATCGTGTCACGACCATTCCATGACCACCTATATTTAAATGGTGTGGTCGTTGGTACGATATTACCATGGTATTTAAAATTTAATGCCATCAGCACACCAAATTTACCGAATTAGTATGGTATTACCAACCAAACATGTTGGTTACCACATGTATTGGTAACAAACTTTATTGGTTCGGTTGATAGCATGTATATGGTTGTGGTATATAACTATATGTAGGGGTTGGATGAGGTTAACATCAATGTTGGCATTGGCGGGTTGGTTGGGGGTGGGGGTGGGTGAGTGGGTGTGAGAGAGAGATATTAACATGTTTTGAATTGATAAATTATAATCTACTCTAATAAATGAATGTTTTCTTTTGCCACATGTCACATTCTCATTCAAATTGCTAAATGTTTTTTTGTTTGTTTTGAATTTTTTTTCCACATGTCATTTTATGAGTTTTCTTATTTTATTAAATTCCACATAATATTTTAATGTAATAATTACAATAAATGTAGTAATAAATAAATATCAATTTCATTAATAGACTTACATTTTAATTTCAAAATTCTCAAATTAAAGCTCATTAATTTTTTTTCTTTATTTATTTAAATTATTTGTTTAAATTTAAAATATATAAAATAACATTTAAATTTTAATAATTCATTATTTTTTTTATTTTCTTATAAATTTAAAGTTTTCGAATATCTAGACTTTTATATCTAATTTTTTTTTTAAATTAACAAATATAATACATGTCACAATTAGTTCAAAAAACAGAAATTTTTTTTTTTTATATTAAAACACAAATAACCGAATTTAAAATCCAATTCTTGTAATTTAATTCGAAATCCGTAAACAAAAAAGCTTTTATTTCATCGAAATGAAGGATTTTCACGGCATCCTCTTGCTCTCCATCTCACAGTCAAAATGTCCGATAATCCTTTGGAGGCAATCTGCAGCACCATTGGAAGAATTTCAGTGTCTCTCCAAACAAATCTTTCCAAATTCATTAGCATCCCCCAAAAACCATCTACACTCACAAATGTAAATGTTTCAGTTTCTCCATCCGGACCACCCATAGCTACTCCACCGATAGTAGCCTCTGTTTCTTCTCTTCCTCAACACACGAACCCACACACAAAGGTAACTAATCCCTTTTTTGTACTCTTCATAGTCGTTCTTAACAGAGGCTTAATTAAACTTGATTTTGAGCTTTAGTGTTAAAATCTTCAGAATTCATCATGCCCGCCAACTGTTCGATGTAATTCCTGAATCAGGAGTACGCCATATTATCTTTATGATTATTAGTAAACGCATCTCTCTGATGCAAATCCCCTTTCCACATCCATCAAAGTGGCGTTTAATTGTAGATTTCTGTGAGATCGTGAATTTTTCTCTACATGTTTATCCTTTCTGCAGCAAATCTCAACTGGTCCAGTGAGCAGAGAAGAGCTTGGAAGGGCCACTTGGACTTTCATTCACACTCTTGGTGCTCAGGTTTTTCTCTTATTAATTACACTTCTTTCTATTTCATGTATATCATCTGTATTCATAGCATTATAAAACATGACATTAACTAAACATTCTCAGTTTTGATAAAACTTTTCAGTATCCAGAAAAAACCCAAACAGGCAGCAAAAAAAAGATGTTAAAGAATTGGTATGTAAATATATTATATACCCCCCTTAGATTATTCTAAATCATCTTTTATTCTTATGGCCTAATATTACTCAACAACATGATATTATTTATATCGTGTTTGTAGATGGCAATAATATCCCGTATATACCCTTGCAAGGAATGTGCGGATCACTTCAAGGAAGTGCTAAGGTGAAATTTCTATTCTAAATTTCAAATTGTGACACATAAATATATGGAAACATTAAAGATGCATTGGTATGTTTGGCAGATCGAATCCTGTACAAGCGGGTTCTCAAGGCGAGTTTTCACAATGGTTATGTCGAGTGCACAATGTTGTTAATCGGAGGTAACTTATAATATGTCATGAATTACATAAAAAATTTGATATGTAAATTGGAACACTTGTGGTGGTCAAATTTTGACTTTTGTGATTTATTTTTTTAGCCTTGGAAAGCCAACGTTTCCATGTGAACGAGTTGATGCAAGATGGGGGAAGTTAGATTGTGAGCATCGTGTATGTGATCTACAAGGATCCATGACACTTTTTAGCACTCGAACGGATTGAATGTAATGATAATTGATGTATATTATTCGAACTTTGTTACTCAAATATCAAGTTAAGAAATTGGTTAAAATATAAAAGCTAAAATTTACTTTTTTATTTTTATTTTTTATGTGTTACATTGATTTGCTACATTTCTTAGTTCTGTTTTGTTAGATGTCTTGGTTTTTGTATCTTAAAAGATAATGACCAAGTTTTGGATATTTTTAGGTGAAATATAAAAAAGCACAGCTTTGGCCCCTTTCTCAAATTTCTTAAGCACTAAACTCTTACACGATACTTGTTTCATAAAAAAATTAGTTTAAGTTTAGCGACATGACCAAAGAAACAGTTACATACTTAATGAATAAAAAAATTAGGGTTTAATCACTAAAAACAAAAGGTTGGAGTTTTAATTGATAAGTTGATAAAATGCGATGTTCATGTATTTTGCAGATTTTTTAATGGTTTTTTTGTCTCATTGAACAAAAATTATTTTATTAACTGAAATATGCACGAATAAATCAAACCAAAGTAAAAATAAAAAGTATTGTTTTAAAAATTATAATTATCAACTAAAGAGTTAAAAAAAACTGATGAAAAAGTTATTAAAAAGGAAATAGTAAATTTCCAACATTAGTAAAATACATAAATTAATTTCAATAATAAGAAGAGCTTTACCCTGTTTGGATGTGTGGAATGTTGGACTCAGAATTCCCATACTAAATGTACAAATGGTTGGATAGAATACTAAGGTTGCTAACAGGCTTTCTATCAAGATTGTGGATGCCACAAATAACCTGTTTCCTGAGAGCTCGGACTTGGAACGTCATATCCATTTGAAGAGCAAAGACAAGTTTATGCTTTTTAAGGAACCAATCCCTAGACCACCATTTTCTTTACCGGCAAGAACCACGTACCAATTAACCCATGAATTTTGTTTTTTTTTCCTCTGTTCCTCCCCAAAGAAAGCGTCGCCTAAGCATCTCGAGATGATTGAGAATAGAAACGGGGGATTTGAAGAGCGAAAAATAGTAGAGTGAGAGAGATCCCAACACAGATTTAACCAGCGTTAAACAACCTCCAAATGAGAGAGTTTTAGACTTCCAAACCGACAGTTTGCTATTAACCCTTTCAATAATAGTGGACCAATTTCGTTTAAGTCCCATGTTGGCACCGACGGGCACACCAAGGTAGGAAAAGGGGAAGGACCCCGACTCGCATCCAAGGATATATGCACAGATTGCGATCTCTATATCGAGAACCCCAATCCCAAACACTTTGGATTTGTGAAAATTCACTTTAAGACCCGAAGCAGCATGGAAGCAGCGTAGGATCCTAGAAAGGTTCGCGAAATTGGTGTTTGACAAGTTGCCGATGAAAATGACATCATCAGCATAGAATATGTGAGAGATATAAGGGCCATTGTTTGGGATTTGAACGTCGTGGGTCAAAGAAGAATGGCAAGCAGATTTCATAGCAGCATTGAGACCTTCCATGGAAAGGATAAACAAGAAAGGAGATAGAGGATCTCCTTGCCGGACCCCCTTAGAGATATGAAACTCCTTGGTTGGTGGGCTATTGATCAAGATGGAAGCCCTCGAGGCAGCAAGACAACCCCTAATCCTATAACGCCATTGATTCCCAAACCCGATTTGCATCAACACAAAACCCAAATAATGCTAGTTAACATAATCAAAAGACTTATCAAAAGCCTTATCGAAATCGACCTTAAAAAGAAAAGCTTTGTACCTACATCTTTTAGCCCAAGAGTAGACTTCATTGGTAGTTAGAGGCCTGTCGAGAATGTTGCGACCTTCGATGAAACCAGTCTAAGTATCATCAACCATAGTTCCAACCGCCTTTTTTATCCGATTTGAAAGGGCCTTGACAGTTATCTTGTAGAGGCTACCAATGAGGCTGATCGACCTATAGTTGCTAAGGGAGAATGGGTCTTTTATCTTGGGGATTAGGGTGATGAAGGAGGAACTGCAACCCTAGCAATACATCCACTAGCCTCGAAAAATTTAACGAAGCGCATTATATCATCTTGCATTAGATTCCAATATCTCTTGAAGAATTCATAAGTAAATTTTTCCGGTCCGGGGGGCCTTTTCACTTCCACAATTACAAACAACTTCTTTAATTTCATCGAGACAAAAATCCTATTCAAGAAAATCATTGTTGTCTGTAGAGATTTGTTTGAAGTTTTGATTAATTAGTAGTGGTCGGACAATATGAGATTCTTTAAATTTTTCCTCAAAAAATCGAAGAATATGGGATTTTTTTAAAATTTTCCTCAAAAAATCGAAGAGCTTCTTTTTCGATCGATTCTCCAGAAACCCAATTTCCATTCACCATTATACCATGTATAATGCTCTTCCTAGTCTTTATTTTTTAGGAAATTATGATAGAACTAAGAATTTTCATCTCCATCCATGAGACATTATAACTTTGGATTTTTTTTTTTGTTAATCAAGCCGATTAAGAGTTTCAAGCTCAATAATTTGTTGCTTGCGGTTTCTAATGGTTTCCCGTTCCTCAACAGATAAGGTTCTCTCCTCAGCACTTCAACAGGTCCATCTAATCTTTCCATAGTGGCTTTTGAAGTCACCAAGTAAAACCCAATTCACAGGTCTAGAAGAAATCAAATTCACCAGATTCGACCATAGCTGCTTCTACTCCAAGGGGGCTTGAGGAGCGTATATATTGACGAAGATAGTATCACCAACAACACCATTCCAACAACTCACGATTTCTAAGAAATGTCTGTTCTTAATGGAGGTGATTTTATGAAATAAACCTTTATCCCAATTTCCACAGACAGATTAAACCACCAGATCTTCCAGTAGCACCCACAAAGTCATAATCAAAGTCCAGGCTACCCCAAGCCAGTTGTAAATCGGCCTCACGAAAAGAAGATAGTTTTGTTTCTTGAATACCACAGAAAGCTAACTTATAATCACTTTGAAGCCTCTTGATCCATTCGATCCTGTGAACTTCACCCATTCCCCTGATATTGAAAGACATCGCATTCATGGGAGACCGGTTTGACCACTATCACCAAAGAAGGTCCTTTCAAGAACCATGTTGCCACTCTCGAGTTGGAATCCTACCTGAGCACCAATAGCAATTGTGTGATTAAAAAACTCAGTTTATTCAATGTGTTGACATTTCATTCTACATTAGTTCAAATCATTATTAGGGAGGAGGGAGTCATTCTCTCCCAACCCACTGTTACATCAGTTTTTTTCTCTTTTTTTCTTCATCTTTCCCAACCCACAACACACGGAAATCCTATCTTTCTCAACCCACTCAATTAAAAAAATACAAAACAACTAAGGTACAAGTCTTAAAACACATGGTACAAGAGAAACCGAGAGAGAGAAAGTAGAGCGAGAGGATGAAGTGGGTTAGTGACACCAATTAAACAACCTGCTGAAGAGGGAGTGATATCTTGGAGGTACCGGCGGTAACTCTATTGCTAATTAAGATTTTACCTTGATTGTTTTGTATTTTTTTTAATTAAATGGGTTGAGAAAGATAGAGTTTCCGTGTGTTGTGGGTTGAGAAAGATGAAGAAAAATGAAAGAGAAAAACTGATCTGACAGTGGGTTGAGTGGGTTGGGAGGGAATGACTCCCTCCTCCCTTACAGAGATATAGTTTTTTTAAAGAAAATTTTAAACATTCAATATGATTATTTAGAAAAAATGTAAGCTATAATCATAAAATTCTAAGTACAGCTAAAGCATGCCATCACAAAAAAAGATAGATCATGGAACAACCAGTGGTTATGGGTGTCATGCCTGAGGTCGTTCCAGAACAAGCATTTTCTTCTAGTACAATAAATGCAGTCAGCCTACCCACTTTGAATAATACGGGGAAACATGCCTAGGACAAGACATATGCATAATACACACTAACACAATACACCTTCATTGATCCACACATTTATTCCATAGATACAATAATGAAACCAACATACATACATTAATGTCGGGTGATACTTGGGAATACAATTAGATACCACTCATACCTGAAGGCATTATTGACACATTGGAAAAAATGAGGAATCAGTTTCTGTGGGGAGGATCAGATGAAAAGAAAGTGATCCATTGGATATCGTGGGATAAGGTAACATCATCAAAGGAATCTGGTGGGTTAGGTGTTGGTACAATAAAAGCACTAAACGTCTCTCTAATAACAAAGTGGTGGTGGAGGTTGAGAACCAAGCAGGATCAGTTATGGGCTGCTGTGATAACGAGTGTGCACAATCTAAAGTCGAAACCTGATGACTGTTACTCTACAAAGTCGTTACCTGGGGTATGGAATAACATCGCTGGAATTGGAAATGATCTAAAGAAAAAGAATATCCAAGTTCAAACTGTGTTAGACAAACGAATAGTAAATAATGGTGTTATATGGAGATGTGGGCTCACCCCGGATGGCTCTTTCACAGTAAATGCTCTTAGATCAAGATGGGACTATCGGACTCCATTAACCAACAAAAATTTCCACTGGATAAAAGAAATCCCACTGAAAGTCTCTTGCTTTATTTGGAGAGCACAATGGGGCAGAATCCCAACAGCTAAGGAGTTAGTAAAAAGAGGGGTAAACATGGAAAATTTAACTTGCCAGATGTGCAATGTGAAGGAAGAAACCGCTGATCATATTCTTGTAGATTGTGCTTATGCAAAGAAGGTCATGGAAGGAGTAATGAGATGGTGCAAGGTGCATACTCACATGGAAGATCTCCAAGCGGTGTCGGATGTCCTGAACCTTGCCAATAAATGGGGAACGTGTACTAAAAAGCGGAAGATATTTCTGGTAATCTGTTATTCCACACTATGGAGAATCTGGATTGCAAGAAATGAAAAAGTCTTCAAAAGGAACCGGCTACCACCCGAAAAAGTCATCGAATATGTCAAATTAGTAACCTTTCTTTGGGTGAAGAACAAGGGAATCAAGATGAATTTAATCTGGGCAAATTGGTCTCAATGCCCTTTTTTCTTTTAGTTGTTCGTCTTTTATGTTTTCTGTCTGATACTTTGTATTGCCACTGATCTGTGGCTGCAACTTTGTTTCCCATGTTTTCTTTTTCTTTTATATATAAATCTATTTGCCGGTTCCAAAAAAAAAAGATACCACTCATACCAGATAGATCATCTCATCCCTTCGGAGTATCACGTAACATTCGTCCATATAAATACTCAAATCACTCTCCCCACTGTGTATGATACATCTCTCTCTCTCTCTCACTCAAAATATAAGGCTTTAATATTTTTACTTTCGAATCCGAGTCTAACTTAACAATTAGAACAAGTCCTTGGTAACAACCCAAGACAAAAAGGTTTGTCTTCCAATTCTTCATTTTACTGCTAGGTATATCTCAAGCCATAACTAATCGATTTTATTCTCGAGCCAATCACAGTCTAGTAACATCATTATGTTGGGGAAAAGGAATCCAATTGATAGAGTATACTACCAACCTTTTCAATTAATGAGAAGACACCATCCGAAATACCCAAAACCCTTAGTCCCTAGAAGAAGGGTTAACCCAACAAATAAAAAAGATAACAAATAGGATGTGAAATACTAAGATAAAAATGTCTAACAAACACAAACAACAATAATAAGACAATAAATTTAATATGGTTCCATAACCAAAAAGGTTGTGTACATGCATAAGGGGGAGATGATATCTTGTATGTTGCACAATCAAAGAGGGATTACAACATTATCAAGTGTACAAATGATCATAAAAATCAAGAAAAATCACCAAACCTACCTTAGAGAGAAAGAAGAATAACTAGCCCTAAAAATGAGCAAAATTCATCACTTAAAATGAAAACAGTCTTGAATGTCTACTCTTTTTTTTGAAAGGGAACTTCCCTAAGAAGGGTTTCAGGCCAGCTTTCGCACACCGACTAATCCACCGTTACAAACATGAAGCTATGACACATGCCTGGAGTCACTATAGACGAACTTCCATGGCCACATGTGTGAAAACCGTCAAAACTCTGGTTAGGACTCATCTAGAACCTTGTCATTTCCATGCGTGCACATAACTTGGCTTTAGATGCAACAAGTTGAGCTAGATCGCGACTTAATAGATTCCTTGGAACAAGTAGTGTAACTTAGCTTGTACTAAGTAGTCACATTGATATGTGAATAATCCAACTAGTTTGTAAAGTGCCAAAGTTCAATCTCAAAACTAAACACAAAAACCATGTTCGGAAGATTAAAGCTCATGGGTATGTAGAATACCAAAAAATTTTAATCGGGACCTATGACGTGCTTAACTATTTTAATAACTTATCAAATTCAATTTTAATTAAATCATAATGTGATTTAATTACAAGTTGGAAATAATATCCACACATCATAATTTGAATTATGAGCTAAAAATATAATCCAAGGATTGTCTAATCCTACATTCATATGTTATGAACCTTTATTTCATTTATTTGAAATATAAAAATTTGATTTTATAAATATCAAATCATAAGTTATCATTTTTATAACTTAATTCAAGATAATTCAAGTTTATGAATTTACTTCTAAACACAAATAGTTCAATAAAAACTAAGAAATAAAATTTTGGAAGTTTATGAAAACACTTAGAGTTTTTAAGAGTTTTTATAAAGTTAAAGCCAAATTTTTATAAAAGTTAAGGGAAGACTCTAAGAGGGTACCCTTACTAAGAAAAGCCTCATAATAACCCTCTCTCCTCCCTAAAAATCCGACCATACACAACCTCTTACTCACTCTCTCTCACTCATTACATCTTAGCCCTTATATTGCAAAATCCGAGACCAGATTTTGCATGTTAATACGAGAGAAAAAAAGGGATCTTAGAGACATAATCCCTAAAAAGACGATGAAAGAGATTTTTCCATTTCGTTTTTCATAAGTTAACTCACATTACTGGAGTTTTGTGGATGATTTTGGTGGGGTATAGCCCCAAAGAGACGACGAGAGAGATGGTCTATCCAGAGAGACAAAATCTCACTTTCTCTCTTCCTTCTCTCTAGAAACCTCACTTTCTCTCTCTAAACATCAGCCCCTCAACCACGAATTTTCAGCCTTATTTTGGGTGTTCTTGAAGCTATATATCAAAGGTTAAGTGCTTATCATACACCTCTTGAAGATCCATAACAAAATTTCCAAGTTCTACTCACTTTCTCCTTCTAATTTTCGATTTCTAAGGCATGTTCTTGCAAAGAACCTTTGTTTGATCTTGATGTTTGTAGATCACCACCACAAACGTGTTGCATATTCTGTAAATGGTGATGATCCATGATCAAACCAAAGTCAAGAGCAAAGGTGAGCACATGTAAGCCTTATCTAGCACCAAAAACCGATTTTTCAAAAGTTTAGTATCATCTATCTTGGTTTCATGTAAGATTACATGGTTAGAAACAAGTATTTCTACATAATATATTTAATATAATGTTGTTATATCTCAATCTAAGAAAAAAAAACTGATATCGTTAGGTAAAATGGAAGTTTGAACTATGTTTTTATGAGTTTTACTCCGCAACATCCTGTCAGATTTGTTTACTAGATTTTAAAAGGTCATAACTCACTCATTTCTTGACCAAATCACGATATTATTTTTCTGAGGACTAGTTCCTTGAGTTAGTTTTCGAAACCACTTGTTCTTACTGTAAAACATGAAAGATATGATTTTTGATGATTTTTACAAAACAATTGCGCAAACAACACTTTTTCTGTAATCACTAGTCTTGCATTACATGATCAAGGGTCTTAAAACCCACCCAAAATCTGGGGAAAATATTTTAGAAACTTAAAATATCCATAAAATAATGCATAAAATTTCATGGATTAAAACCCCATATAAGTTTCTACACAAATTCGTGAACTTTCAGCTACATTTAGAACTCATGTACTATATAGTGCTACATTCCCTAATTTGTTGAGGTTGAATACATCTTTTATCTTCGGAATAATTCAGAGAAAAATTGTTTTATGAAAGGAAGTGGTTTTAAGAGGTGTTCTGGTAAATCTCAAGTGCTTAAACAAAATCCTTATTTTTCTGTAAAAATAATGATTTAATGGCCATAAATTCAAAATAATTTTTTTAGAAGAGATAAAAATATGAAAAACTGTAGTCTTAATTTATTCAAATAATAAGAATTCCATTTAAAGTTTCAGACGATTTGGACATGGTTTAGTATTTTATCCATATTTTTCATTAAATTGGAGCATGAATTTACAAATTCGGGTCATTGGACTCAAAGACCCTAACCAATATTTTTCTCAACCTTGGGAACCTGTAAAAATTAAATTGAGAATTTTAGAAACCTTTTACCATTTATTTTGAATTTTCTCTATTATTTGGGATTTAATTTACAAATAAATATCAATTGACCTTCAAAAATGTCTACAAAATTTTTGAACACCAATGCCCTTTGTTAGAGCCATAATATAAACTTTTACATATTTTGGAGTTCATTTTCATGCCTTTATGGATTTTTGAACACAAGACACCATGAATTCAATAATACCAATAATGAACCGAACAAACTTTGGGCACTTTGCGACAACACTAGTTGGATAGGTAGATCTTAGATAATGGTTTAGTGAATTGTATCTCACTAGAAACTATTTGTTCCGTAGGTAACTATTAGAAACCGATCTCTACAACAACGAACCACGAAGCTCGAACTGCAAATACTACCTAGTGAGTATTCCCAGCCCCTTTTTTACCGTTTTCATGTTTTGGGGTGGAAAGCATGCTACTGTTTTATGAGCTATCCATACTATTTTATGAACTTGTGGAACTTTTTTTTATGAACTCTATTTTGTGAACTTGTTGAGGCTTGTTTTATGAGCTTAATGAACTTGGAACGATATTGTTTTATGAACTTGGAACAAACTCTTTTATGAACTTTTTGTTATGAACTTGTGTTATGAACTTTATGCTATGAACTCTTGACATGAACTTTGTGATATGAATTTTGTATGTTAAGTCCTCGAGAACCGAACTACAACCTATTAACTCGTATTTTGAGCCGATGGTCTTATGGATAGTGCTATTTGGGGTAGACAACTCCCACTCACCCACAACCGTGAATGCATATTTCCGTGAACTGACATCATGGGAACTATGGACATGATGGAATGGGGGCAATAATGGTCGTTAGGCTTGGTTGTGAACGGAGTGTTTTGGCATTTAACACTCACTTTGAGTTGGAACTTTTGTTGAACAAATCTATATTTTCTAACTGAAATGATGTACCTTTATAAACATGTGAACTCACCAACTATTTTATAGTAGACCCTCGTTTTTGCATGCTTTTCAGGAAACGGTCAGTGAGCCAGTTTAGGACGTCATAATGATTTATGTTTATTGCTCTTGTTGTGTACTAGACTATGTAGTATGGAACTAAAATCTAATATTGTTTCGAATATGATGTAAACATAAAAATGCTCAATGATTATGGTTGGTAATCCTATTTACTATGACATTCCCATTTTTCACGGCCAGAAAAGACCGATTTAATTTATGCTTTTAAAATAAAACCAGAGTAATCATTTGATTAAAAGAGTTGTAGAATTTGTTCCCAAAACAATATATGATAAAAATTTATCAAAGCATTTCTTAAAGAAATGTATTTTCATTATATAACAAAATCTCGGGATGTCATGTTCCGATACAGACCAAAAGCATAAACAGTACCATATAGGCCTTACAACATTTATTTATATCTAATGGCCTATAATCCAAAATCCCTCGTCATCGTCCAACTATGCTCTTTTTCCACTACCTGTAATACAGAAAAACTGAGTGGGTCAGGCTTGGGAGCCTGGTGAGCATATAGGGTTTTCAACCCACAATAATATAATTATTATTATATTTAATCATCACACAATCAACCCAATTACCCACCCCATTATCTCCTTTTTATTTATTAAAGATTACCCTAAGAATCAACTATTCCTTGTTCATTTATTCCTAAGGATTATCCTAAGGAATCGGCACAAAATCC